CGCCTGAGAGCTTCAACCAGGGCTTCCTCGTCGACAATCCCACCTCTTGCAACGTTAACCAACACGGCATGGGGGGACATAATCTGCAACTCCGCAGTAGAGATCATGTTGAGCGTCTCGGCGCTTCGTGGCAAGCACAAAACAACCACGGTCGACTTTTTCAAACCATCTTCGAACAGAACCCGACCCGCTCGAGGAGACACACCCTTACGCTCAGCAATAACCACGTTCATCCCGAGACCCTTTGTCATGGCCTCGATGCGTTTGCCTAGCGATCCGTATCCAACAATGCACACGGTCTCATCACTACACAACAACGGGGCCTTTCCATCAGGTGCACGAACCCGACTAAGCAATGAGCCATTCGTCTTCCACTCTGTATCAAGAGACAAGTCCTTAGGAACTGCAACTGTGGCGTTATGGAGCTCGATGAACTTCCGTCGAGTGGCAAAGTAAAGTCCAATGGCGTGTTCACTGACACTGTCAATGTTACTACCGGGACAGTTGCACACGGTGATTCCTCGTGCGGACGCAGCTGCTATATCGACGCAGTCTGTACCGGTCGCCATGATTACTATAAGGCGGAGTTTTGGGGTGATTTCGGCGCCCAGAGTCTCTGCCGACAGGCGCGTGGTTGTCGTTATAATAATTGTGGCATCTTTGACGCGGCTGGGCAGATCAACAGGGTCGGTCCAGCGATGGACTGCGCGAGAATGCGGCTCTGGTAGATCAAACTCAGGGATCGGGCAATGAACAGCCTCAATGGCGACGATGTGGTGGGTGGTGTTGTCTGTGGCCATAATCATGAGGGGAGACAGAAGACGTGTTACTTCCTTTGAAGATCTTCAACTGATTCCCCGTAGATATCTCCAGGGCAAAGTCGGCCATTGTGTGATGACTGATAACAGATACCGAGAGTAGCCGAGATGGGTCGCGGGGATGATACCGAGATGTCGCCGAAAAGGCGTCGGATGAACATATCCGAGAAGACTGCAAGGTTGTGCTGAAATTCTTGGAAAGCTTAATTGCCCTTATTGCCCTTATCTACAAGGACTAGGTATCCGAGTCAGACTGTTGCTCCCCGCATGGCTTTTCTATACAACTGACCGAAGTTAACCGACATCAACGACTTACAAAGGCGCCAGATTGTGAAGCTCAGCGATGTCAAATTACCACAGGAACAAAAGCAACAAATCTCCAGAAATTCAACTTCTCCGAGAAAGAACAATCAAAAGACACTACTAAGACAATGCGCAAAAGGCGCAAGTCTAAAGACGAAGAAACGTTCCTGGAGCTGGTTCAGTAGATCATTACCGAGCTTTCGAGGAATTCGAGTTTCCGTATGTCGATTGGGCATTATGGAGAATCAATAATTACAGCCCCTGGCTAAAGAGTTCTCCTATCTCTTTAAGCAGCGGCTCCTTCTGTACAGCTTCAAACTTCATCTTTCCAGAAATCGTCTCCGCCACACTCATAGCGCGACAAAGATCAATTAGAGACCCATCCATCGGAGCTTCGTAGACAAGGAGCCCAAGGGCAAACAACAACCCATGCAAGGCTTCAACGCTCTCGTTCTCGCGCGAAACAGCCTCAAGCAACGACGCAGTGAGTTCGACCTGATCTTCCTCCGACAGAGGATCGGGGTTTCCTTCAATGCGGGCATTATGATTGAATGAGGCAAGATTATATGCAAACGAGGCCGCGACAACGCGAAGGCTGGTTTGTGAGTCTAGGAGAGAGTTGGTCGCGAGACGGAGGCAGGTCTCGCGGAGTGGGGATAAGGAGGAGGTGAGTTGCTCTGGATAGAGAGGCGTGCTGAAGAGATTACAGGCTAGTTGAAGGGCCACAATGCGGAGATTGTATGGGCACGAGGATAGATCGTCTTGGGATAGGGGTGCAAGGAGAGTGAGGAGGGTTGCGTGTTGGGCTTCTTCAGCGAAGTAGCCACTTGCTCGTGGGTCAAGCAGAAGCAGACGAACTAGATCAACCACGGCAAAATGACTGTCACTGGGAAGCGTCGAGTATATGGAGGTCAATGTTGTGGCGAATGCATGCAAATCGGGGACCCTGATATCGGCGACAGGTTCACTGGTCGAGTGACGCAGCTTCACAAATTCAATGACCTGCGCGACACCGTGGCCTTCCTTGAATGCGACAGGAAGTTTTTGAAGGAGCTTTTCGAGTGGTGGGACCTTTTTATACATGACCAAGGTCGTAACCTCTCGCTGAAGACTGGGAAGTCGTAGTTGGCGATGGGGGTGGGCCGGATGTGCCATCTCTAACAACATACGAACATTTCCCACTAGCTTGGCCGGGGTTACACCGCTCCATTCATCCAGCTTTTGGCCCTTCAAAAACGTCATGAAGGTAGGAGTCGAGTGCACGCTGTACTTCATGCCAACGTCGTGAGCAACACCGACGTCGACTTTGATGAGAGTAGCTCGCTCACCCGCTTCTGCTGCGAGTTGGTCATATGTTGGGTAGGCAGCCTTGCATGGTGGACACGTTGACGATGTGAAGAAAATAACGGCGCAGGAATGGGAAGCACTAGAAAGCTCGCTCTGTAGCTGGCTGAGATTGCTCACCATGCGGACTGTGCCCGCCGCTGGATGTGCCGCTGGTTGAGGTACGGGAGGGACAGCCCTCGCTGTAGTCGGTAGAATACTTGGCCCAGGGGCAGGCCCTGTTCTGGTGCCTTGAGTGACGCCTTTAAGAGCCGTCTCGATTTGAGGTCTCATCATTTGCCCAAATGGAGTTTCGAGGAAAGTGCGAGGCAGGTTGATAATGTGCTCTGGGATACTTTTACCGACAAGAAACATTGAAAGGTCTTGAGTAAAGTTATTGCAGTTATGAAGGAAAAGGTCGTATGACTAGATCTGATTAGCCATAGCTCCGTTGCTGAAGTTGTGCATAAACAAACCTCGGGCGTATAAATGGTTGCCAACGAACCCAGGTATTCTTCAATAACGTCGTTTGGGAGTTCAGTGGTGCCCAACTTCACGATCTCCACAGGCTGTCCATGATGGGTACTCCCTGGAGCAGCGGTCTGGATACCCTGACCGAAATAATATTCAATCCCATTGAGAACGATGGATGTATGATAGATGGCATCCATTTGTGTCCCTGTCAGGGCAAGGGAGTACTGTACAAATTAGAGACTGTTTCCTTTCAACAGTGCATTGAACATACCATTCGGGCCAGACCCTATATTCAAGATTAGTCGATATTTACCCCACGTAGGACTGGAAGACTCACCTTTGAAAGGTCGTAGACATATAGTGAGACATCCATGATGAAGCTGTCCGATGTAGAAGAGAGTAACCCTCTGAAAGTGAAAGTCGAAACAAAGAGCCCTTGAAGGAAGGCTCCAATCCGATAACGTCAGCACCGGCAGCCTCCAGGGCTGCTATCACCTTCGATCGCATTCTATAACGTTTTGTATGGATGCAATATTTGATGTTTGATAGTATTTCAACTTTATCAAAATGGAATGTGGCGTTGTTCATTGACGCGATCTCATTTCTTACTATGTACTGTCTCCAGGACTAGTAACTAGCTTGTCTCGATTTCACGTCCAACGAGCTCCGGAATTCAGAATTCAGAAGAGCTGCGTATATAGTTGATCAGGAGCCCAATGCAAAAAGAATCTCCAATTTTGACACGTATCCAATAATCATTTATGCGCATACATATGTAATTATGTATAACAAAGGTGTGAAGCTGGCTACATTCATAGATCGTTTTCCAATCGTCGCTCCCCCACCTTCATCACCCTCGGCGCCAAATCCTCATTTTGCCCAGGCCAGCACCTTGCAAAGCCGCAAGTCCTGCCACTGATACTCGCATGGTAAAGAAACCCGGATATTCTCAATGCCCAACCAAGTCTGACTCCCTCACAGCCTCCGAAAAAGCGTGGAGGCGCAGCAAGCTCCTCCGCACCGGCAGCGCCAAAGCGCGGTCGCGCATCCAAGCTCGCCAAGGAGAATAACATTACCGCCGAAGAAGAAAACGAGATCAAAGAAGTCTTCCACCTATTCTCCGACAAGAACACAGACTTCCCGGACGAGAAAGAGGGAGTCATTCCCCGCGAAGATGTGCGCAAGGCATTAATGTGGGCTTCCCTAGCTCCTCTCCGTCTACACCAGCAGTCTACAACAATCGACACTACCCAACCCCACCCCCTCGTGTCTTACTCCAAAGCTACAATTAAATACTAACAACTCTCCCCCCAACAGCGCCCTCGGCCTCCCTCCAAGCGATTCAACCGAACTCGCAGAGATCCTCTCCGCCCTCGATCCAACTCTAAGCGGATACGTGCCCTACAGTCCCTTCATCTCAATAGCAGCAGCCAAGCTGCGCTCGCGCGATCATGACGCCATGGCTGCCGAGGTGGACGATGCATACCAGCTATTCACGCGCGGCACGGATGGCCCCATTACGTTGTCGCATCTGCGGCGCATTGCGCGCGACTTGAAGGAGGACAGTGTGGGCGATGACCTGCTCAAAGATATGATTCTTGAAGGGAATGGGGGTGCTGGTGTGAGTGCTGGGGTTACTTTGGAGCAGTTTCATGATGTCATGACCAGAGCTGGCGTTTTTTAGAAGTGGAGGATCTGTGTAGATATTTGACGGATATAAGGTTCGGATTCGGCGTTTGGTATGGCATCCTCTTTTAGCAGCGAGCCTGAACTTTTGAAATTTTCAAGGGATTCCAAGGTTGTTCGAAAATCGATTATCATTTGTAATATTCCATGGTGACTGTAGATACATGCTTTCCTCCACCGGCTTCTGCGAAAGACATGAAAGAATTAACCTGGGACTGGCAAAACGAAAGAAAGAGTAGAGAAACACAGCCAGTGGAAAAAAAAAGAAGCAGAATAAAAGGAGCACAGAAGGAGATATGGCCCGCGCATCACCGATAAAGAACTCCCGAGAATATTTGCGAAACTGTATCATGCAGGAGCCGCAATGGAGGAAAGTGAAAGTAACAGTTGAAATGTTTAGGAGATCTCATCAGCCATGCCGATGTCCTGGTTGGCGCTGGCCTGTGGGACATTGCCGTTGACGGGAGCAGTGCCTTCAGCGGGGGGGGCATCGTTGGTGAAGTAGTCGACCATCTCAGCATCAAGCTCCTCAACAGTCTTGGGCTTTCCACGGCCGGCGTTGCGGCCACGAGCGCGAGGGCCCCTTCCGCGGCGGTTTCCCTTGTCAGTAGCGGTTTTCTTGTCGTCCTTGGTCTTGGGGGCAGCGGCAGACTTGGGCTGAGCCTTCTGACTGTAGATGAATAAGCATATGAATGGGGGCAGCTAGAACAGACATCGACTTACGCAACGCGCTCAGTGAGAGGCTTGGAAGCAGGGACAGCGGGCACGTGGGACGCATCATAGACAACTTCGATCTATTATATACGTCAGTCAATGCTGCAGTGAGGGCTAGCCAGAACAAGAGGATTTACCTTCATGGGGCGGCCATCGACGAGGAGTCCGTTTAGCTCCTTGGTGGCCTTGGCAGCGGTGTCTGCCCTGGCGAATTGGATGGAGGCGATGCCACGGCTAGTACCATTCTGGTTGTAGGTGAGCATGACCCGCCTGACGGGGCCAGCAGACTTGTTGAAGTATTCCTATAGCGCGAACAAAGACGATCAGTATTTTCGTCAGACAATTTCAGTGTAGAGCGCGGTTCTCGAGTGTCGGAAGCAAAGCGGCGGCGCAAACGAGGACAGCCAAAGGTGAGAGAGCATCAGCGAGCACACAGCATCAATCCATCCTCCACTTCATCCTAGCATTGGAACATGGAACATATAGCTCCGTAGTTGCAAAGGTCACAATTCCGCTCCCCGCAATGGAATATAACACGCCAACAAATATCCATAGCAGTATGGAATCTCCACTTCATCCATACGTCCATCAATCGATCATAACAAGTCCTTCAACAAAAGCATTCTTTCACGTCGCCGCCATCACGGCAGAACTTGTCAACTGGAATCCATTTGCCCATAGATGTGTCTTCCCAACAAAGTAGGGCCATATCAGACACAGTTTAAACTTCTCCAAGTCACTGCAATAGGTAATCACCCCATAGCAGCAAGACTCTTCACGGAGACATTTGAGACAAGAGTCTCGAATAGATAGGTTTCAGTCTGCCCGCTGAACCTGTTGACCACTGTTCCACTGATGCGCTCGCTGATGCCCGTGTGGATCTCAAAGTATAATGACATGAAGGAAATGCGCGGAATTGAAGAGAGGTCAGGATGATGAGTTTTCATCAATCATCCTCGGCATAGTACTCAGATAACAAGGCGGGTGGATTTCCATGTGGGAATCGACACGAGCAATGTACATCTTTTCACCGTACTACAACACAGTTTAACTTCTTGTCTCGCAGAAGCGCCAGCAATGTGTATATATTTGCAGAGACATGTAGGAGCAAACTGTGTGCCGTGCATCGAGGAAATTCCATCGATGTGGGAGGAGGTAGAGAAAGGTCGGAAGGCGGGTCGAGATCGTTTGCGCCGCGAGATTCTCGAGAAAAGAGATGGCGATGGAAGCCAATATGAGAGCCTTTAGATCAACATACCTTGACATTGGCCTCGGACACATCGGAAGGCTGAGGAGATTAGCGCATGGACAAGCAGAAGCGTCAGAAAGAGCAAGAACTTACCAATCCGCTGACAAGAATCTTGCTAGAACCAGTCTGGGCGACAGGGGCTGGGTGAGCAGCCTTGGGGGCAGCCTTGGTGGACTTCTTCACACCTCCAACAGTGGATGGCTTGGTCGCGGCGCGGCGAGAACCAGCACGGCGACGAGTGTGGCGAGCGGTCTGACGACGGCTGCCGACGAGATCATCAAGGGACTTATCAAGGTTGGCAGACATGACTGCGACGGATAGCAAAGCTGGCGATTTGCAAGTTCAGCGAAAGTCACTGGATGAACGCGTCGTGGATGATATGCGACCTAAGATTTAAGTCGCGTTTAAAGAAGAAGTTGAAATCACAGTGGATTCTCAAAATGGGATGAAGTAGGTATATGTATGGAGTTGAAAGGATGAATCTTGAAAGGAGGAAGTGAGGAGAGGGGGCAAGTCCACGGGTCGTAGCCTGATTTTGCACTAAACCCTTTTTGGCGGGCTCAACGCAAACAACATCAACCAACTTGATTGGATGGATCTTACTGAGCCCCAATGAGAGATTCCAGGGTTCTACCTGTTGAGCTCATCTTTGTCCCCCTTTGTCTCTGGATTGACTCATTGTCCCATTGTGTATGGGATTGATGTTAGACTTCATAATCTTTATTATTTTGAAACAAGCAGAAATCCATTATGTGCAGGCCCAGCCTTAGAGAATAGACTATGGAAAAACGCGCACCCAACTCCAAACACGAATCATGGAACAGACGACTCAATAAGAAATAAACAAGACTAACGCTCTGAGTTTGCAATATGTACTAGCTCTTGAGAGCTTCCAACCGGCCGCGCATCTGCGCGAGGGTGGCTTCTTGGTCTTCGAATTCCTCCTCGGCTTGTGGAGATTCCGGCTCTGAGATTTTGGACACAGGCGGTGCAGTAACGGGCTGTGCCTGGGCGAGTTTGCCTTGCAAAACTTCCTGCAGGATCTTCTCAATCTCTGATTCTGCTTCTTCTTCCTCATCTTCAAAGACCGAAGGGTCCATGGTAGCATCATCAACCATCTCTTCGATAATGCCTGCCCTGACTAATTCTGAAGACAGCTGGTGCATGGTCGCAGATAATTGAGGCAGTCGGACCAATGTGTTCACGTCCTTCATGATCCCAGTTGACTTTTGAAGACTGCCTTGGATTTTGCGCGCCGAGAAGGCTTCATTGACCTGCATTCCCACACTCTGTAGTTGAGCTCGGCTGGTATTCAACCGTGCGGTCTGTTTCCGAATGCGCACCAACTCCCTTGCAAAGACTTTGGTGTCATTGTTAGCCTGCTTGGTCTGGGATGGGTTTCGCTGGGCTCGTTTAGAGGCATTGACAATGTGCTGGCGAGTCTGGCTGTCACTGGCTTTTAGCCGGGCTAGATCGCGGTCGAGTTGCCGTGTGTTTGTGCGTATCAAAGCATTGCATTTTCTCATCTGCCGGATTATTCTTCGTCAGCATCATACTTCCAGGGATTAACGAGCCACACCAACTGCCTACCTGGGCTTGTGGGTCGGGCCCAAAGAATACCGCCTTGAGACTCTCCATGGACGCAGTCTTGCGGTAATAGCGATGGACAGCGGCGACGAAAGGAAAAGCAGACAAACCAAAGTGTGGGCAAGGTTCAACAAATGAGTTCAGTCTCGGGGTGCGGTTTAATCAGCGATTAAGCTCATGCGCAGTGCATCGTCTTAGAGATAGGCGGGGCAAGGCTAATTCGTTGGCTATGTTGGCGTAGTTTTAAACCCTAGGAGTACCGTATGGTGGGGCTCTTCTCGAAGACTAGAATCGCTAGGTCTTCGACTCAGTCTTCAGGTCAGTACAAACTGATGTGACTACCAATATTCAAGGCTCCCGATGTACCTGGTGTGCCACGCTCAGCGTCCAGCCCGCCGGGAGCGGGAACTGAGTCAGCTCTGACGTAATACGATGTCCCACATAATTTGTGCCTGAGGCACGCTTCTACCAGTTTCTACAACATAGCACTTAGGTAGGTCGTGAATGAGCTTCTCCTACACTTCTTCTCCTCTCTTTGACAACGTTTTCTATCTCCCTCCATTTCTTCAATTCTTCCAGTTATCTTTCCACTCCTAATTCAATATGTCTCAGACATTGACTCCCGAAGGTACGTTATGACTGCTCTCCTACTTCCCCGCTCTCAAACGCGGGACTGCACATTTTGCATGGAATTTACTATGACGTTATCCAATGTTTAAGACTGTTTTGAAACATTAACTATGCCAATTCTACAATTTCATTTCTACGTGGGATCAAGGGGCTGACATCTTATTTCGTTTCAGTTACATGGGCTCAGCGCTCATCCGACTCGGATCCTGAGCGCAACTACCTTTACGTGAACATCAAGGCCACCGATGTTCCCAAGGCCGATGCTACCCTCAGCATCACTGAGAAGAATGTTTCTTTCAAGGGCGCCTCCAAGAAGGGCGTAACATACAGCGTCTCTCTGGACCTCTTTGCCGAGATCGACCCCGAGAACAGCAAAGTCAACCACACTGACCGCGACGTCGAGCTTGTTCTCCGGAAGAAGGAGCTCAAGGAGGAGTTCTGGCCCCGCCTTCTCGAGAGCAAGCAGAAGATGCACTTCTTGAAGACCAACTTTGACAAGGTATGCTTGTGCGTTTGTTTGAATGATGGGACGTCTACTAATCGGATGCAGTGGGTGGACGAGGATGAGCAGGATGAGGCTGGCGAGGATGACTACGCCAACAACTTCGGCGGTTTCGGTGGTGAGGGTGGTGACCCCGGTGCCGGTGGCCTAGGCAACATCGACTTCTCCAAGCTTGGCGGTATGCCCGGCATGGGTGGCGCGGGTGGCATGCCCGACCTCAGCGCTCTGGCTGGCGGTATGGGTGGCATGCCTGGTATGGGCGGTATGCCCGGTGGTGAGGGTGCCGAGGAAGATGATGTAAGTCTGCTCGCGTGTAGGTGATCTGTGATTATCTACTAACACAACTCCGCAGGAGGACCTCCCCGAGCTCGAAGAAGCCGGCGACCAGAAGTCCACCAAGATCCAGGAGGTTTCTTAAACGTAAGATGCCTGCTTTCTGCGAAATCTATGACGACCAGAAACGAAAATGATGGTGTTTTAAGACGCCTACAGGATGATGCTTCGAAATATGGATTTGCTTAGGTTTTCGCCATCCATTGACTGCATGGCTATTTTGACCAAGCAGCTTTGATTCAAGGCCAAGCTTTATACATGGTAGATCTATCTCATTGAAAACATCCCAATGATTGATGAAGCGTGATGAGTGGTCATTACAGGTTCTCACGTAGAGTTATATACATATGTAATCAATGTAGCTTTGGGGTCCACGGTATTGTATACTGTAGATAAAGTTATTACAAGGCGCCTCAATCCCTAGGCTGATCAACCTTCTTGGGCGGCGTAGTGACAGGTTATATCCATGGATATAACCTAACCCGTTAGTGTTTAAAAGGCAGTGATGAGATATCAACTTCATATTAAGTGGCCTCTATTTAGGGTTTTCTCTAGGATATATTCTCCCAATAAAGTGCATTTACTATCTACGTCGTAGGTGTTTTGTTTGACATCCTTCTTTTAGGATTTGGTGAGAGGCGAAGCTTATATATGCATGAATATAAGGAAGTTCGAAGCGTAGAACTGTTTCAATAGACCATCCGTTCTCTCCCCATGTTGTACTGACATTTGCATCGCAGGGGCCCTATTGTGGGTGACGAGGGCAAATATTAGTGGGCATATGACGCATGTTACTGAAGAGCACATGCTCAAAACTCGATATTGTACGCCAATAATAGAAGTCGATAAAAGATTGAGAAAAGAGTGATTATCTAGGGAACATCGAACCTTCAGACTATATAGATAATTTCCGCTCTTACCTAGTATATTTCGAGTCGTGGCACTGTAGGCTGGAATAAAAGGACCCGCACCGTCATTGGTTAACCAAAAATTGCCGTCACACTTCTCACACCCCTCGTTTTCGAGAACATTTCACTCTACAACGACCCTGGCATTCTTGCCCACCACTCGATATCTTCTTTTTCAGTTCTCCCTGTCATTCTTTCGGGCTTCATCAGCGTCTTTTCTTTATCCCTTTGCCACCAACTGAGGCGCACCCTAGACAGGCGCATTTTCACATTTTTACTCTTCCCCGAACCCGCGACGTCACGTCCGCCCAACCGTCACCATGCCTCCCAAGAAGGCCGATCAGCCTAAGAAGAAGAAGGCCACCGTTGAGGATAAGTCCTTTGGTATGAAGAATGTACGTCATATCCTCGATTTCAAGTCGAAAAGCGAGTTCGCTCGTGATATACCCCAGCATGTCCTAACGTTGAATGTAGAAAAAAGGAGGTGCCGCCAAGAAGCAGATCCAACAGTTGCAAGCACAAGCCGCAAGCAACAAGAACCTAGACGAGAAGAGGAAGGCCGCCGAAAAAGAGAAGCGTGAGGCTGAGAAGGCGGCCGCTGAACGGGCCAGGAAAGAGAACCTTGAGCTGTTCAAGCCCGTGCAGGTCCAGAAGGTTGCCTTCGGTGTTGACCCGAAGACTGTTCTCTGTATTTTCTTCAAGCAGGGTCACTGTGAGAAGGGCCGGAAGTGCAAATTCTCACACGACCCCAATGTCGAGCGCAAAGCAGCCAAGAAAGATTTGTACACCGACAGTCGTGATGAGAAGGGCGCCGAAGAAGAGAAGAAGCAAAAGGATACTATGGATGACTGGGACGAGGAGAAGCTACGCAGTGTCGTTCTGAGCAAACACGGCAACCCCCGCACAACCACCGACAAGGTGTGCAAATTCTTCATCGAAGCAGTGGAGAACCAGAAGTACGGTTGGTTCTGGACATGTCCGAACGGAGGAGACAAGTGCATGTACAAGCACAGCTTGCCACCGGGGTATTTATTTCCGCCACTTATGGGTGTCTCGTACGCAATACTAACAGCGTGAGCAGATTCATTCTGAAGACCAAAGAGCAGAGAGCCGCCGAGAAGGCCCTCAAGGACAAATCGCCCTTAAACACTCTCACCCTAGAGGACTGGCTGGATTCCGAGCGTCACAAGCTGACTGGCACACTGACACCCGTCAACGAGGAGACCTTCGCCAAGTGGAAGAAGGAGCGTATAGACAAGAAGGCCGCCGAGGCCCAAGCACAGCAGGCAAAGGAAGCTACTGGCCGTACGCTCTTCGAGAGTGGCCACTGGGCCGAGGAGGATAGTGAGCCCGAGGAGGGCGAGGACGAGGATGGAACCTGGAACTTGGCAGTCATGCGGCGAGAGACCGAGAGGCTGCGTGAACAGAAGGAAGAGGAACGTCTGCTTAAGCTCAATGGGGTTCTACCCACAAGTATACCCGAAGCTGTCACGCCTGAAGCTGTGGGTTGAGCCCCTACAAACCCCCACGATACTAGATTCGTGGGCCCTTGAAGATCCTTCTCCCCCGGCCACATGCAATCTTAAAGTTTGTTTCGTGTTGCTATGGGGTCGGATCTCGATGTCGAGTGATCGCTACAATCGCTGGCTTTGTATGCAACCTCGATCATCACTGAGGGCTCGGTTGGTCGCCTTGGCCTTCCAACCTCTATACGTGTGTACTACAGATGTCATGCGTAGAGGAAAAGGTCAAGGCTGACTAGCCACGGGGGCGCAAAGGCTTGATAAGTCTTGTGTCCCATGTGGCAGAAGAATCAACGGCCGATATACCTTTTTGATAGCACATTGTTATTTTGTCGGTAGCAAAAAGTTCGTTCATTCAAATGAACCTGATGCCTTCTATTCCTTTCTATCGGACTTCATGGCATTGTAAGATATGCAAAAATATGTACAACATGCTCTATATAAACGACCCATGCGCTCGTTGAATGTCATTAAATAGTCTCACAGCAAGGCTTTAGCCTGCAGCAGCCTCTTCTCGAGCATCACGGCGACGATGTCTTCCGCAACACCACGAGACAGCTCAAACCCGCGACCACCAGCACCATACCCATGAACGATATACCGATCATCAGCGAGCTTCTCCGCCTCGATGCGCAAACCGCCCTCACGAGCCGGCCGCCTACCAACAATATCGCGAACCACATCGAATTGGCCACCACTCTCTGGTGTGAAAGGGAACCACTTGGTTGCGTTGGCAAGGAGGCGCTGCCTAGTTTCCGGCGACGGGTTCGGGTCCCAGTTATTCGGCTCCTTCGTGCCTCCAATAATGGTCCCGCCTTCGAGGGGGCGTGGGATACAGAAGGACCACGAGCCATCTGTATTCTGTCGAGTAATGGTCTTCGAGACCGGGTTACGGACGAGACAGGTTTGACCTGAGAACATGTCAACACACAAAGTTAGGACATACACGTTCCAGCGCATCCCAAACACAACCGTCACAATAATCATCACGGTCACTCCTATCGTAGAGACACGTACCTCTGATAATAAACGACTTCGGGTCATCAAACCCACTTCCCGAGCAGTTCACTACGGTTTTCACATTCCCCGTCATACTAAATGCCTCCTTCAAATTGGCAAGCGTATACTGCTTCGTCTCGCCTCCCTTGAGAACGAACTTGCGCAGCAAATGCGCACAGTAGACAGGCGAGTTAATAACATATGTCCCGTACTTTACACCCCACACCACGCCAGCCGGAACCTCCTCTTTCCCCAGAGTCCGGAACCCATCCAAGTGCGAGTAGACATTGCGCACACTCTGCTGATCCAGGTACTCCAGTGGTGGAGCCTCGAGGTGCTCAACGCCCTCGACGAACTTGATGCCCGCGCCGGGCTCAGCGGCTGCAGTCCGCTTCAGGAACTCGTACGTGCGCTGCGCTTGGTTCGCTTCCTTCAGGGCCTGTGGCGAGGAGCCTGGCACCGGACGATAGTGGGCTCCTGCCCACGGTGAGGCGTAGTTGACGGAAGTTTCCGATGGGAAGTCGCGGGCTACGAGCAGGATGGATTGCGTAGCAGTGAGGTGTTGTTGGATGCATAGTGCGGTGGAAAGGCCAATGACGCCCGCTCTGGTTGAGGTTGTCAGCTGATTGTTCTGTCTTGTGATCCGTTTCTTTTTTATCTTTTGGGGGTGGGTTCGTTCGAAGATATTATATGTGGGAGTATTGGACTGACCCGATCACTACGATTGTCCCCTTGGACATGTTGGGAGTTGGAAAGTTGCCACGAGGGATTAACAAATACTTTATAGGAGTAATTCATAGGCTTGAAGCTCCAAGCTTGGAATGTCTGGGGAAACTGTTGGATGAGTCAAGGTCCGGGGAAGGCGATAAGACCCCCGCGATCAGATGATAAGAGTGGCATGTTCCACTTGGGCATCCAACATTAGTATTCCTGCATTATTAGAGATGAAGACTTCTCGATATATCTCCAGAGTTGGAGATATAGAATATACTCTCTTATTCCAACAGTAGGTGCGCATTTTGTGCCCTCCCCTTGGCCTGCATGGAATATGTACGGGAATATGTATATAGGGCTTTTCTTGTGACTCGTATTATTTCAAGGATCGGAATTGACCCAGTACATCCAGTACGACTTGGATATCCTTTCTCATTGCCCAAGCTCGATTGAAAACTCTGCTGGCGTGCCCCCGATACTATCACAGGGGCCCAAGCTCCAGGATGTTCGACGGTGCCTTTTTTGCAGGGATGACTGCATATCTTTGCATTTCTGTCACATCACAGGAACCAAAATGCAGAACCACTTTTGAGGTACTCCGCACTCCATAGAAAAGCCTGGTGGAAGAGAGAGGAAAAAAGAAAGCAAGATCATCGTTGATAGACATCGGAAACGCTAGTTTAAAGATGAAACTTCTGAACGGTCTTTTCTCCGAATTCAAGACAAGAAGAGGGTTGCCATAGGCCAATAGAACCAAATTAGGTCACTTTCTAGTCAATTGCAGACCATCATGGAATGGCTGGATGAGTGCAGGCATTGGTTGAGGGGTGGTTGTGTAGGCGCCGAGGGATCAGCAGTGATGGATGGTGATTGGCCGGGTGAAGTGACGAAGCTGCAGCTTGAGAACGACAGCACGGATCCCAATCACATTACTGTTTCGGATCACATTATTATTTTCATTTTGCTATTACTTCTATTTGAAAATTGGGCGGTTCCTTGCAGTTTAAAGAAAATATCAAGTTGGTCAAGTTGTTGTTGCTAGGGTTAACTATATACTTCCGACTATATAAAGTCGGGTTGGCTTACCTCCGAGTGATCGACGTGCAGAACACTAAGGACACAAGGGCCAGGGATTCTTCTTCTTCAAGGTGATTCGGGAACTTGTCTGCATTGATCTAAACCGTGTTAACTTTTTCTTTACTCGGGTTCTGCATGCTCGTTGGTGCAAGTCCCGCAGGATAACCCAGCCACCAAGAAGGCTCGATCTCACCGTGTCCGCTAATAATGTGTTGAATATGGTGCTTTTAATCCCGGGTCCTCCTCCGGTTTCTCTGTAACTCTAGAAACGGGACAGATGTATGGCCCTAATTAGGAAATGAAAGCGCCCAGCAATCCCCCCGAGCGCCAACCAGTATTTAGTAGTCCCCGTATTTTCATTTTGGACTATGCCTGCTCCCCTCTTTTTGGGATTGTTCTTGATTTCTGCTATTTGCTAGACGGGCAGCCTGCTTATATGTATATCATATAGAAACCAATCTTACTGTCACAAACTTAAGACCCCTCTGTCACGCTATGTGATGAGCGTGCAAGTCATTTCAATTTCCTTGAAGTGTCACACTTGAATATCTTATTTCTCTTTTTTATTCTTTTTCCCCTCCCCTGTTCCAACGGCTTGCTTCCTCTTCTTTTTCTCGCCTTCTCGCATATTTCCTTACATATCTTGCCACCCTTTTCATTTATAGGGCCCAGATCTTGCGAGCCTATTTCAATTTCAGTCACATTCCTTGTCAGGCGCTAAATTCTTCCCCGGACCCAAATGTGCCTTGAGATATCCTGGAAATTCCCGTCTTACACCTTGACTGGCACTCAGGGTTGTGGCCGATTAGCAATCTACCTGGCTTAAACAGAGGTCAGTGGCCCAATCTCGTTTAGACTCATTTCATCTTCCCTCGTGTTCTGGGTATATATCATTTGGCACTTTTGTCTTGAACAGATCCCCTAGTAAATCAACTTCCCCGCAAATCGTCTCATATGCATCATTCTGGGCAAATATAATGGTTGAATTGACATGGAATAGGAGTTTGCGGACAGAATCGCGACCCTCGAGGGCCGTTAAAGCAATGGCACCTGCACCACCAGCTGTCCAGCCTCGCTTCGAGGCCTGCGCTTCGACGGCGTCCTTATTCCTCTATGCCCAGGGCTCAACAATCCTATGTTTGCATCATGATACATTGGCAATCGAGCGACGTTTTCAGAGTCACCAGGAAAACATTGACTTCATATCGGTGGATAATGTGAGCGAGCGAGGTGCGGGGAGATTGGTTGTCAGTTACGATGTAGGGCAGACGGCGATTGTGTGGGATATCTTCACCGGCACGGAGATTGCCCGGTTTGCTTCCTTCGATCATCTGCGAATAGCTTCGTGGATGCGTAATGGCAATGTCGCATTTGGTGAGTTAAATATCATATATATATTTTTAAGGATTTTGAATTTGCTGATCAAATACAGGCAATAGCAAGGGTGAGGTGATCCTGTTCGAACCTCCCACTTCAGAGCACATCTCTGCGCGTACCATTTTCGACCCAATCACAGCTCTTGCGCCCGCCGCGGATTGTCGTACTTATGCAATTGGGTATGTGGGATGAACATTATTGAGAGCACCACTCGGAAGCTAATAGGTTTCAGATATCAAAATGGTTCTATATTGATCGCGACTCTACTCCCTCAATTTACCATTCTTCACACTCTTACTACTTCGCGAGGACCATCGCCCATTATTTCCCTGGCTTGGCATGCATCCTCGTCGAAACAAAAGTCAGATATGCTGGCAACACAGTCATCGAATGGTGATCTACGAGTTTGGAGCGTGGCAAAACCACCAGGGAAAGAGTCACCTCGAGTGATTAGGGTATTGAAACGATCTGATTCAAACTCCTCTGATCCCAAATGGATGGGCTGGTCGAAGAACGGAAGATTGGTCCAGTATTTGGAAGGGTGCGCAACGCTTCGAGAAGATAATTGGGAGTTTACTGACGTCTGACAATAGGGAAACATGGTCTTGGGACGTTCGGACAAAACATGTTACCTACGATCCAATTCCCACAATTGACGGTGTTCGAGGCATCGCAAACTACGGGCCTACTGCGACTCTATTCACCGTCGGCCCCCAGCACTCAGTCCAGCAGTATGATTTGGAAAATCCGGCAATGGTTGCAAATGTCCAACATCTTCCAATCATTCCCCGGCCTGGCACCGCGGAAGGCAGTCGATCACAAACAATGTCCCCACGGCGGTTGCAAGATGCCCCTGATATCCGAGAACCACCAGGCGCGGCCAGACGAACGCCATTTGACGCAAACAGCATTGAGAGTATTAGACAGAGGGCAGATCTGACGAGCCCGGCTTCATCGCGCAGTCGGACGGAATCGGTGAGCTCAAAGGCGTCCTCAGGGAAGTACAATATGAGGCCTTTCTCTCCACCGAGTCGATCTGGCCAGAGTGCTACGACATTTTCGATGACATCGGCTGGTCGTGATACGCCACAGGCTTCTGCTTCGTTTGCGTATCCCTCCTCAGTCTCAATGTCATCTGTGAGAAGCTCGAGGGCGGCATCGCGATTGCGAAATGAGGTTCATCTTAGCCCTGCGGACAAGAACATTGTGGATCTATTCCCGTTCACTCGGGCTCGCTTGATTGATGTGCCTTACAAACAGCAGCCGCCTATCGATGAGACGAATCTAACTTCGGATGATCTTCGGCTGCAGATGTTGAGCGTGGTCTTTGGCTGGGACGGAGACATCCAAGATCTGATCATAGATGAGTGTATGTATTGCCCTGTATCTTCTATCTTGGAGACATTTTTTGACAATTCTTAGTGAGCCGCCACGCTGTGGGTAGTCAAAGCGCTATCCTCTTAACGCAATGGCTTGGTGAGAACGACACGGATGAAATGGCCTCGATGATTAGCTCTGGGCAGGTAACAACCTCCGACTGGATGATCCTTGCCTTGAGTCAGATGAGCGGCCAAGCTCAAGCAAACAAGGTTGGACAGGCATTTGTACAGAAGCTACTTGAGATTGGGGACATACACACCTCGGCCGCTATATTGCTTGGTCTCGGGGACAGCAACGATGCCATAGAAGTTTATGTTTCTCGCAATCACTTCATGGAGGCTATCCTTATGACATGTCTCCTGTTCCCATCGGACTGGCAGCGCCAGTCATATCTCGTTCGTCGATGGGGAGAACATGTCGTTACTCACTCCCAGCAACAACTCGCCATTCGCTGCTTCATGTGCACGGGAGCGGAACCATCAGAACCATGGGCATCTCCATCTGCCCAACAGACTTCATCTTTTGCAGAGATGATTCGCGCCAAGTCCCCTGTCACCTCACCCGAACCTTCGCAAGCCAATATGATGCCACCCGTCCGGCCAAGATCCACATCTAACTCGAAACCTGCAGTGAAAACGCCGGCTCTCAAGCTCATTACTTCCTTTGAGACACAGCCAGGGCGATTCCGCTTCCCTGGCTTGAAGTCTGACGATCGTACGCCAACAAATGCACCTGGAATCACACCGATTGCTGAATCCGCGGTCCCCGATTCGGCAATGTCCCCTGGTGGATTTGGCTCTTATAAACTGAACAATATCCAAAGCCTAAATCACGCAATGACTTCTCGAACAAATACCCCTTCTTTCAATCGGCGTCGTCTACCCTCGATAGGAGAGACACCAGTGGATGTGCACCCTCCAAGCTTCTCACGGTCAAATTCTTACAGCCAAAATGAGTATAGCTCTACCTCCGAAAATGAAACGAGTGGACACGACCAGAGCCAAGATGAGAAGGAGAGCAACAGCGGTCTTCTCACTTTGTCAGCCGCGAAATACAACCCCAGTCTAGACTCTGTCAAACCCAGTCCCCAGACTGCTATACAAGGAGGGACAGACAAGTTTGCCGCAATCAAAGGGCTTCCATCACCAGCAGCTGGTGTATTCGAGGCTCTCACAAACGATGATCACCGTAACGGGTCCCGAGACCGAAAACCAGACGGCCTTCAAATCGAGACATTGGAAGGTGAAAGAAATCCGCAGGACCGCTCCGATTTGATTCCCAGCGCCAAAAGCACCGCTTCGACAGCTAATAGCTATGCTTCGGCTAGGAGCCCAAGTGTCAGTGGTCGCAGTATCGATCAATACATCAGTAGCCTTGATGAAGCGAACTACCATGCGAGAAAGTTCCGTCCACATACCCCGGGCCGTGGAAGACGGAACCCAGACGACACTGCCAGCCAGAGCTCAAGAGTCAATCGCTCGCGTGATGCCTCCCGAGATACCCGCGGTATGAGTGAGCGTCGATACATTCAACCTGCCAAGCGCTCTCCTTCCTCACCGGTGCCTATGTCTCCTGAAGAGTTGGCTCGATACCATATCGAAGAGTCTGAAAAGCCAGCTGAAACACGGAAGCCCAAGTCTCGCACCAGAAGTTCTAGCAAGGTGAGAGGACCAGATTCTCGGAACCGTCAGCGCTCTTCAAGTCGACACGCTGCAAGCCGCCTCGGGACAGACAGACGAGACGCCTCAATTCGAGGCCGCAGCAATGACCGACAAGGATCCAGCGTTCGATCGCCATCGTCACCTCTTCCTATGGCATATCCCACTGAGGAATCGTCTCAGGATGTCGACAATCCTTTGAGACTTGTCGAGAGTAACCAAAAGAGACTGCGGTCTCGCCACCGAAGTGCCAGTCTGTGATCCAAACAGGGCCTATATCAGACCCCTGGGCACAGCAGGCATCGGTTCCGGAGCAGTTGAGCAGCAAGGTCTTTGGCCAAGAAGACACGTCCAATGGGTATTCTAATGGGCAACCAAGCTCGACAGCCAATGATTCCCAAGACATTACGTCCCCAACGACACCATTTGTCAGCCTCGCTGAGAGAAAGCGAAGAGAAATTGCAGCAGCTGAATTGGAAGCACGAAGATTATCACTCGCCCGCAATCCATCAGCACCAAACATCCCCTTCCCGGGTGAGCTGCAAAGCGCAAGAAGTCCTCTAGAGGCTTCCCCACCTTTCTCTGGCACAGGCTCATTCTTCCAACGGGCTCCATCGCAGAACAAGGCGTCCCAAAACAAGGTATCTCTTGACTATCCTAGCAGTTCTGACTCGAACTCTTCACGCTCCGGAATGCCCGGGGGACTTCCAGCGACTCCGCGAGCCATGCGCCATCCCAAGTACGGAGGAACCGGACAAGACGAAGACCGACCTCCTTCTGTGCCCATCATGCCTACAGACAACAGTCTCTTCCTCAGCAATGCTCGGTATCAAGGAGATACCGAGAGAATCGGACGATCGATGTCTGTCCCAGCGCCAGAAGGACAGTACAACGCCCCTTCAATGCCTAACGACCTCCCCATGCATCCTCGGTTTAACCCAGCACTCCCCCGGAGCCGGTCCAGCAGTCGCAGCCGCGCCAAGGGCCATAACCGCACCAGCTCAGGTAGTTATATCTCCGGCACCTCCCCCCACGTCCAAGTAAGCATTGAAGAGACAATCGAGCATGCAATGCAAAGGGGACCTTCAGCACAGCAAGAGACAATCCCCCCTCCGCCACCTCCACCCATCCTCCCAGAGCTGCAGCATCTTAACACCCCGCCCCCACCACCTCCATTTCCACTCTCTGCAGCCCCCGTCTCGCCCCGCGAGTCCTCGGCGACTATCGATATCGCCATCGACAACAACGAAGACCTCGGTCGTCTTCTCCCTCGCGCTATGACTGCCGCCCCTGCTCTAAATGCGAGCGGTCAGGGGACGGATTCCCGTCAGTCAGATAGTCAGCGTATGTCCTTTGACCATCGCCGAAACCGTAGCTCAAACGAGAGCTTCACGAACAAGCTACGTAGCTTGACTCGTATGCGCAACAACAGTCGCAGTGTCGAGCCTTGGACACAGGCTCATGAGGCGGAGATGGCTCCTTGTGAGAGTCTAAACTCGCAAGCTGCTGGTTCGAACTCGAACTATGTTCTGCCGAGTCAGAGCTATGTCGCGCCGGGTCCGAACTACGTTTAAGCACCTGTTAGCGCTTGACTGGCTGACCAGAACGACTGTTCTTTTTTTTATATATATCTTTTGCTGATCTTTGTTATTATTCTTCTCTCCTCTCTTTTGCATCGTGAGCCCCCTTTTTTTATTGTCATTGTTTTTATGAAATTGCAATGTCCTGGATTTCAACGCATCACGCATCATGTTTTCACTGCCCGTTTGCTTCGCTTGATATTACCCCCTGTTTAAGGGCTCATACCCTCTCTTGCTTGATTGATGTTTTCCGAGTTATATGCCCCAAGTTATATTCCAAATACCATATCCCGCCACCAACCCTAATCCTATGGTTGGTTGAATGCACAATCTCCTAGTCCCTGATATTGAGATTTTCCTTTTCGAGGTTGGAGACAGCGATGTCTTTAAAGATCTTCTTGCCATTTGCTCATGCTCTCTTGATCAGGGTCACCCTAGCTAAACATATATGTCTGCAAAGGCTTAATGATAACGGTATCAGTTGTTTCTAGATGCTTTGATATAGAAGCAGCTGTTCAAAGGCTGAAAATGACATAGTTTTACATGCGAAGATAAATAAAAATAGGACCTGGGAGATACTCAAGATCCCCAGCCTCGGTTTCTAGGTGAGCGTTCACTGCCAATGTTCCTCTCCGCCTCAATCATCCGATCAAACTCTGCCTGTGCTTGATCCCTCTCAGTCTTCTGAGTAGAGTCATACTTTTCTTGATCACTCTGGCCAAACTCAGCAGAGAAAGAGTAAGGGTTCACTGGAGGCTGTGACATGCCGGGCTGCTGTCGAGGCTGGGGACGTGCTCCAGCATTCTGCCGTCTGATCCGGTCCCAAGCACCGCCAGTTGCTGATCCATAAATGTTTGTATTCCGGTATTCCGCAGCTGTAGGGCTAGCATCGTCCTCATCCATGAGATCCAAAGCCGATTTTGACTCGGGTTGAGTGCTCCTGCCGCGTGCCCAGACTGCACCACCGTTCGAATCCGATGTAGACGGCTCATATGAAGCAGACTGAGATTTCCCGTTCGTATCATTAGAGCTCACGTATTCAGAGTAAGAATTTGGCTGCGCGGGGGCATCGTAAGACGGCAGCTCCTGTTGGTACCCGTCGCCGCCCGCGTATCCAGCAGGCGTGCCGGTCATCTGGGAGCCGACATCTTGCTCACCACTGCGCATACTCAATACGCGCTCGCGAGCGGCCTGCATCTTGCGCTTGCGCACGTCCTCGGGCTTCGTCTTGCGCATGTCCTCGAGGAACCCCTTCAGTCGCGGGTCCGTCAACATGTTCATGGCATCTTTGGTGACAGCGTAAGCGGTCGAAGCCATGCTACCAAGAGATACGATGAAGAGCATTTTGAATGCGGCTGATCCGATGTTGCCTCTGAGGCTGGGCTCGGTGAACATGGTACGCACCGTGTTAAACAGCGCCGCGGGCGTGGGATTGCGCGGGAACATTGGTGACTTGCGTGCTTGGCGGTAGAGAAATGCTGTTCCGAGGAATGAGCTTACGGGTAAACCTGTGCGCGCGTAGTACAGGCGTCGCGTTCCGTGCTCAACAATTGCATCGAATTCATCTTGGGTCGGGGATCGTGCTGTTAGCACGTAATGGTTCTCCACTCGCTCGTTCACTGTGCTCGCAACCTTTTTCGTCCAGGCTGCTGTGCCGAAAAATCCAAAGTACAATGTGAAAAGATCAGGCTTCACAATTGACTCTTGTCGGAAGTGGACCTTGTTATATTTCGCGATCGCGGGGTTGTGGCCAGGGAGGGCTCGGAGGGAGCCATCTGAGGAGTCGTTGTTGTATTTCTGGTCTGCCCGCGGCGAGGCGTTGTCGGAGCTCATGGTGAGTATGATGAGTGTTGAGGTGACAGGCGAGAGCTCCGCGGAGCTTAGCTGTGCCGTTTTCTGGAATGACCCCAGAGGTGACGTTACGCGCTGACTCAGCATCTGTATAAAACCTTATCCGTATATCCGTCGGCTGGCTTGGCCAGTATACTTCTACTATGAGCTAGACCCAAGTGGCTTACCGTTAGATATCAGTGATACCCCATTGTTACTTTATATATTTGGAGACGAGGGAGGGAAGCCGAATATAATTTTAGATTCAAATACGAATTTGAATTGCAGTCATTTGATAAAAAAGCTACCTCAGTAGATGCACATACGGCGACGATGCATTCTTACTATCTTCGTTCTGAAGACCTCGGGATGCTCTGGGGCTGCTCTTCCGGTTTACTCATCGGGTCCAACGTCTCATCAGACCTAAGAAAGTTCTCGAGAAGCCTCCTACCACTTCTCAATATAAGGCCGCAGGTCCAACTCAAATGCAAACGTCGTGCGTGGCTGAGTATGCAAATGCCAATATGAATCCGCAATCTATAAGCAGTGAGTGCTAGAATAAAGCAATCTGGGCAATGGGCAAACTTACAGCATCGGGGCTTAATTTCGCATCTTCATGCTCAAAGACCCAGGCCTTGGTACGAGGGATATCAATGACACCGTCAATAACAGTATGCGAGACATGGACGCCCTGCGGCCCAAACTCACGAGCAAGTGACTGTGCCAGTGCACGCAATGCGAACTTGCTCGAAGCAAAAGCAGCAAATTTGGCTGAGCCCTTAAGACTAGCAGTAGCTCCCGTGAAGATCAGTGTGGGCGGATACTCTGACGATTCGCGAGCTTGTACGAGTAGTGGAATAGCCCGTTGGGCAAAGTTGAAGGCTCCCTGTCTGATATAGGAGTCAAAAATTCAGCAAGCTCCCTACGCATAATGTGGACTGGGTGAGTACAAGAGACAGCAGATACGTACGCCTGAGACTTGAGTGCAGTCGAATAATCTTCTTCCGTTAGCTCGAGGAATGGCTTGACCACGAAGCCGCCACCTGGATTGAAAACAGCAGCAGCCACCTTCGAGGAGGGATACTGCGCTTGAATCTTATCAAATGCGGCATTGATGCTCTTCGAGTCGGACACGTCGGCGCTGATGCCGATGGCCTGGCCGCCACTGGAATTGATCTCTTGAACGACTGGGTCATAGTTGTCTGGGTTTCGACCCAGAACTGCAACGGAGTATGACTTCGCAAATTTCCTGGCGATTGAGGCGCCCTGTCTCTTTCGTCAGCCAATCCTGCCTATATGGAGTCAAAAGGTGAAGATGTAGGTCGTACCGTGCCAGGGCCAACGCCGGCAATGATTGCGAGTGCTTTGGAGGCCATATTTGATTTAGGAGATATATGAATATATTCTTTTCGCAAGCCGAGAAACGAAGGAATCTAAACAAATAAATAATAGCCCGGCGGCCCGGAAGCTATCACCGAAGCTTAGAAATGCAGCGAGGATTGATCATCACATCCGCAGATGATATCATCTGCAGAGAACGGGACTGGTGTATCCCCGCAAAAGACAACATTCGAGGGAAAATTAGACCATTGATAGATGAATAAGCCTACCTATGAGCTCATTCCAAGCTCGGGAGGTCTACCTACGTAGACTCCTGGAGAAACTAAGGTTGTTGGCGAAAGGTATAGTTCGAGATCTCTGCCTCAGGCAGTTATCGATAAGACAAATAAATTTCCCATCAAATCTCCGGCTCTCCAACTCCGCAGACAGTCAAACTAAGATGGCCGATTCAGATCCCTTGCTGAGTGATCTCTGCTCAATATGGTACGCCCATGGACAATTATATCAATTACGTACTGGTATACCTTGAATCTAACCTGTCTCTACAGCCATGCCAATCCTCCCAAATACCGCTGTCCACGCTGCTCAACACGCACCTGCTCCCTACCCTGCACACGTCGCCATAAACTCTGGTCGCAATGCTCTGGCGTTCGCGATCCAGCCGCATACCTAAAGCGCAATGAATTAAGCACTGAATCTGCGTTCGACCGCGACTTTAATTTCATTACGGGCATCGAGCGCACCCTCGAACGCGCCGAGAGAGAAGTCGATAACCGCGGGATTGATCTTTCGGGCGGTGCCCAGGCCGATGATGGTGAGTCTGAAGGTTTGGCGCACCCGGCTGCTGGCCGTAAAAGAAAACACCCGAACCAGGGCCTTGCCAAGGGCGAGGCTGCGTTCTTGCGCGGCGCCGAGACTGCTGGTGTGAGAGTTATTCGAGCTCCAAAGGGGATGTCGAGGAATAAGCAGAATGGGTCGCGTTTGCATCCCAAGTGAGTTGGGGTTCTCTCGTGTCTTTAATTTAGACGTTGTACTGACTCAGGTGTTTCTCGAGGCATAAGCGTCTTGCTTGGACCATAGAGTGGATTACGGCTGATGGGATGAAGACTATTCGTGATTCTGTCATTGATACATGCTCTATCGCGGAAGCCTATAACCGATGCTGCCCACGCCCGAAGGATCAAAAGCCAGCTATCGAACTAGTGAAGGAAGAGAAGAAAGAAGCTGTGGACACACCTAATACAACTATCGCTGCACCCGGTGATCCTGCCACGACAGTGGTTGAGGCAGATACGAAATCACCCCCATCTCCGACCAGAGACTCAACAAAGAAACCAGCAGATGCCTCAACTGAGCAAACAGATACAGCATCAAATCAGACCCACGCCCCTCACCGTGGTCTTTACTTCTACCTCCACCGTCCGCGAACCACAACGAAAAAGCCTGTCTTAACCCCTCTCTTGCAATCCTCAACGCTCAATACTGTTCTGCGCAATCGGACTGTTCTAGAATTCCCTACGATTTATGCACTGCCAGAGTCAGCGAGGACACTGTCTGCGGACAAAGATAACTCCAAATTCATACTGGAGGAAGACTATCTTCGCACGGCTGGGCCAGATGAGACAGGCCAATTTTCTACGACCAGCGGCGATGGTGACGCGGCTGGAAACGAAGCCCTCCCCGGTTCTTCGGTGAATCTTCAAGATGTCGATGAGAACCTTGTATTGGAGGTATTGAAGAAAGATCTATTTGAACCAGCCCCGGAGAATGAGCCAGCAGTATGAATTATCTCTGTATGAGGAGTTGTATCAAAAGATGTTGGCCAATTCGGCACACCTACCAGACAATGTACGATACCTAGGGACAGCTAATTGTCAGTCAATTGTACAAAGAGTCATCCTCTCAGAAGAAATATCAGGCTTGGATACAGGTGTATTTATTCAAAGCCACACAGATTCTGCTGACCATAACATGTCGACCCCAAATAGGAAATCACGATCAACGCGGCTTCCTGTCGAGTCAGACAAAGACCTTCCGAGTGCACCTTCACTTCACTGGGATCATCTTGGGGATATTAAATCCTCCACGGCTGTTGCTGCCACCATGAGAATCAGCGTTTTGTCTTTCGGCGTAGCCGTGATCTATCTCGGTACGATAGCATCCACGTTATCAGTTACCAGAGCACCGCCGCAGTTACCGGCCAAGAAACGTCCACACGGATGCGATTGCTACACAATATCCGGGCCCGATCCGGGATACTTCCAGCACTACAAGCTGTGGGACTTTCGGGCAGTGGATTTGAAGAAACATGCCAATCTCAATCTGTCAGACCCCATTGATTATAGCGACGAGGACTGGGATGATGATGATGTTGATGGCGATGACCAATACCCGCAAAATGGCACCCTCTCTCCCGGAGTCCATGATGGAAAGGACCCGGACCTCAGATCACTGGCATTCTACAAAACCTCCTTCGAGAGAGACTGGAGCAGTCAGAACTGGGAACGCCGAGGCACCCCCGTGGCTCCGGTCCTCATGATAAATTCGAAGCATAACGTATTTCTCACCCACGACCCTGACCAAGATGGTTCTCATGCGACGTTTCTTGTTCTGCGTACCACCCGCTTTTCAGAGTACACCTCCACCGCGGAGATCGAGACTCGCATACGAAATATCTTCCGGTGCTCGCTGCGTGTCAGGCTGCGTTTATTGCCAGCTAGCTTCATCGTATCGCAACCCCCTCTGCATAGAGAATGGCCGCCGCGGGATCCGAAGCGACATCGCACCGCGCCCTTTAACAACGGGACGATTCCGCTTCGTGGAAGCAGGCCATCTGGCGGTGCTTGTGCTGGTATCTTCACCTATCATGACTCGACCTGTGAATCGGACATTGAAATTCTGACACGTGACCCGTCCCATCGCGTGCACTATGCCAATCAGCCCGATTACGATTTTGCCGGTGATCGTGAGATCCCCGGGGCGAGTACCATTGCCGATGTACCTGTCCCATGGACAACGTGGTCCACGCATCGCCTAGACTGGCTCTCGGACATGTCAAGGTGGTATGTCAACAATGAGATGCAGGACGCCAAATCGTACGGAGTTCCTGAGTTAGAGAGCATGGTCATTCTCAATCTTTGGAGTAACGGCGGACTCTGGACGGGCGACATGGGAATTGGCGATAGTATATACATGGGCATTGAATACATCGAGCTGATTTACAACCGTTCTTCTGATGCTTTCAGGGGCCCTTCCGTACCTTTTTCGCAGAACCATGGCGGCCATCAAAGGATGCCTCTGCCTCCCGCAAATGGTTCTGGCAATGGGCATCCATTGGAGCCAGGCAAAAAGGACAAAAAGTGCCAGCCAGGTAGACAGGGCCGCGAATGCAGAAGAAACAAGTGGAGAAACAGGCCTCTTCATAAATCTTGTCGGAGACCATGCAACATTGATGAGCTTTAGGGCTTTTCTGGCAGACTTTTGTATTCTTATCAGGTTTTGTTTCTGTATATTGCTTGGACCCATTGCTTTACTAGTATGGATGTTCTGTATTCTAGTTCTGGACAGAATGAATTTTTCATCAGGGCCCAACATTCCTCTACTACTACTACTACTAGATTCTAATTGCATGCATATGTTGGAGCCTGGGTCATGTGACCCAGATGGCTGCCTGAGTGGTCAGGCCAGTACTGCTTGTTTGCCTGTGGGGTAACGTATTCGGTAAGCGAGCTGGCCACCCCCAAAACACATAGTAAATGCGAGTTGGTATCTCAACAACCACGTCTTTATTTGGCTCCATTACTTGTCAATAGCTATTGATAAGAACATTTAACACTATATATCAATCTTAAGAGAATCGAAAAGGTGCATTGTCATGGTATCGAAAATTACGCTGCTAAAAGCCTGAAGTATATATCTCACAATCTCTAAGTCATATATATATTTCCCAAACTCCCTACAGGGGCTAGATATTACCTAAAAAGCAGTAGGTCATAAGGAAATCTCTATATAGACTACCGTTGTTGAGATATCAAGTTGTAATTTATCGCATTTACTATGTGTTTTGGGGGTGGCCAGCTCGCTTACATGGCCAGCTCGCTTACCGAATACGTTAGTTAGATCGCTTTTCTCTCCCTCCCTTTCTCTTCCTCTCCTCAGTTCTCGTTAGCTGGCAATCAGATCGTCTTGCTGCTTCTCTTCTTGTGCTCTGTTTTCGCTGTCAGTATATAGTCCTGATCGGGTGGAAAAATATAACATCAATACAATAGAAATACATGACTCTACAAGTGCAGAAGAGAAAGCTGATGCTATGTAAGATAAAACAACACCAGAGGAAAGAAAAGAACCAGGAGAACCAGGAAACAAAGAAGTATGATCAAATGAGTCCGCACGAAGGGCCTTTTTTGTATTAACTGAGTCACCGTGGTGGTGGTGACCGTGGGGTATCATTCAAATTCATTGCAAACGTCACATAGAAAGAAGAGTGCGCCAATAGAAATCCATTGTCCTTTTTTCATCTTTTCCGTGTTGTTCGCCTCTCGCGCCGAAATATCAGATAATGTGTAACGTGACCGAAAACGCCTTGATGGTGGTGCTTATTATGGATAATTGTGGATGTGGGATGGATGAAGTATGTGAGAGTATGTAGGAGGGTGAACAGAACTCCGACATTCAATGCATGAGATCGAAAAGAAAAGGCGATGCTTCTGTAGCCATAGATGAACTGGTCTTTTGTGTTCATTTAAAGCAACACTTCGCCTGTTGCTTCGTCTTGCGGTTTAAACTCGCCATGAAGGCCACCGTTTATGAGCTCAGCAACAATCTTTCTGCGGAGAAGTCGGATGTGACATGGGCCAATGGCTGTGGGTTCAACTCCAACGGTAATTGCTTTGGCATTCGTTAGGAGGAAGACACCACAATCGCTTCCGTTGTCTTGCTGAGAAGAGACCGATGGCAGGAGAGACCACTCCTTGTCTTTGTATTTTGACCCAAGCTCGCCACGAAGCCATTGTTTGGCATTTTTCACTTGGTGAAGACCGGCGGATCCTAGGGAGTCGAAATACTCAATTGTACGTTCTGCCGGTCGAATAACCATGAGGGTCCAATGAGCTTTCTCATGTACAGGGATGAAGACTGTGTCGACATTAAGCAGTCCTTCGCCACCGATCTTGGCCCGCTTTGCCCACCGTTGCACGGCCTGATATCCCTTATCGCGAAGGTTAGAGTAGAAAAAGGTGTTGAAGGCGTGGAAGAGTGGCCGATCGCCAGGTCCGAGGTTTCCATGCGAATCACGGAGGTAGTGAACGAGTAAACCAAGGTAGGCATTGATAATTTCGTCATTGAGCCAGGCCTCAGGGCGAATGCACGTGACGATATCCCGCTGGTACAGATCGTCTCCGGCTAATGATTTGGCGACGGCATGTCCTTGCGCACTCTGCATGGCGCGTTGAAGTTTGGCAAGCCACTCAGGCGAAATCAGACGTACGGGCTGCCCGGGTGGTATCACTCTGATTGGACGTTGAAGATCGCGCTCCCGGGCTAATCTTTCTCTCTCCCGCCTTTCGAATTCCGCCTCGTACCACGATGGAAAGCGATTGGCAGGAACCGGCCTCCTGTGGGCGTAAAATAACTGTACAGCGGAGACGGGGCCATGGGGAATCCTTGCATCTTGTCGAGCTTGTTGATCCCATGGGTCATCAATGTCCATGAGATCATATTCGACGGGCCTGGGGGCTTCAGTTGGTCTCGGCGATGGAATGCGCTTAGCGCTCGGAAGGGGAGGGGTGTATGGCGGTAATCGAGGGTGAAGATGTATGCCGAGATCCGTAACAAGTGCTGGTGTTGCGCGAGCATCTATGTCCATAAATTCCCACCCCTTCGGTGGGACATCTTCGTCCTCGATAGCCACACCTTCTGATACAACAAGGGTAGGTGATTCAGGAGGAGTGAATGGGAAAGCTCCTGGGATGGGTAACTGAGAGTTATCTAAGGCTATGCTGCAGTTCAGTATATGCGACTTGAATTTCCAAGAGAGGGGCTGCCATACCATCGTGGGCGTCACTTGGAGGCTTTAAGGCCTCAAAGGGATTGGGTATCTTGAACGTGGGCTCCGTGGGCTCCGTGGGCTCCGTGGGCTTTGCAGGGGAGGCGCGTCGCTTGTACCGAGGCCAGCGGAAGAACCCCATGTTGCTGCAAAACGGAAAGTCACGCCGAGCCAGCCGGGGCAAGAAAGTCGAGAGCGATCTACTCGTCCGATGACGCGCCTTCAAGTAGATCGACAGTGGTTGAATGAACGTTGGGAGAGTGGAAAGGGAGGAATGAGCGGGTGGATGAAAACGAGGCTTCAAGATCCATCATTGGGCATGACTGGAATATCTATCCCGAACCCAGAATCGAAGGCAGATACTCCGCAGAGGAAGAGGTATGGGAACAATCTGGGCCGACGCGGTGCAGCGGGTTCTTTCATCATTCTGCTGACTCATCACATATTCCCCGGCCCAGCCTCCATTGTTGTTGCATTGACCTACGTGACCTACATGGCTGTATATATTGTCACTCTTTGTCTGCCTAAATCTTTTGGGGGGAGTTTCTTTCAGTATTGTCCTTCAACTTCTCCTAGATATAGATTCCTTTTACTCTGGTTTCATGTCCTTTGATGTTTCATCTAGTAGTCGTCTTGTGGCGAACACTATAAACAGCCAACGCAATAAGCCACCTCAAAGAGAAAGTTGCGATAGCACCTCTTTACTTGATCGCTCCTTTGTTCTCGTTTCTTTTATTATCTTCTATGTCATGGTTCATGCGGCTAGTCCCATACCTGTGTTTGGGCAGGATGTCTGACAAAACCGAAGAATGCACCTATGGATATTGCTTTCAATGCTTATGTACAAGGACAACGTAAAGAATATCTCTAAGGTGATCTGTTCCAGCGCAGCCCGCTGAGCTAGGAGCAGGCCGATGGGTTGGCGATGTAGGAAGAGAGAGCTGGAAGGCGAATTGCACTTCTATCAATACGTTTCTCATCCTCGTTATTGGGTTCCAAGTCCGACTAGGTCGAATAACAGGGGTGCAACCTCGATGACCACCCATGGAATACCTAAAGGAAACTAATATCAGCAAAGGTCGTGTCAAAATCCAGGGGTTGCACATACCTGCATATACAACCAGTTTTGTCACTACCTCCACGTCGTACCGCACACGGGGCTTCTTGATCTGGGAGAACACTTCTTTTTCATCCCGCTCCCCAGCCTGAAAATCTAGCGAAGGGAAAGGTGTTGTCGGCATGTCGAGATTCACATCCACTGCCGATGAACTGGGGCTGCCCCTTCCCATCATGCCTTCGTAGTCGTCCAGTGATGCCGTCTTTCTCGACCGCACCGGCGTTCCATTGGGCTTGATTTGATCCTCAGCGACCGGGGAAGGACGATTGCTCCCAGATTGACTCTCGCGTCGGCGCTTTTCCCGGTACGCCAGAGTTTCATACGCATCAGCTTCTGACTGAGGACCGATTGAAATGGCTCGGCGGCGAGGATGACGCATTGTGGTAATTATGTCTGGGATATCAGAAAAATTTGGAAGAACGTCATGATCGTTTAGGTTAGAGGGAACTGTGGTGTATTTACTGGGCAGGTCAGCATAATGTCCACAAGCAGGAAGTATACATTCAAACTTACGATGCAGTGGTGAAGAAACGTCGAGGGAGCAAAAGACCGAGCTTCTCCAGGGCCCGGAAGATAGGTGGCAGAATGCGCAGCAGAGCAGGCTTTGTTACAGTTCTCCAAGCGAACACGCACAAGACGCCCATGACCAGACGAATGACAGTTTTAACCCAGCCCACGGTCTCGAGGTCGTAGGGAATTGACCCAGAAGGATAACCGACCCAGATATCGGCGAAGTGCCACGAAGACACATCCACGCCTAGCATGACTCCTGCGAATGCAACACTATCGTCGAAGCATGGGCAATCATCGGCAGGCTCCGGATGGACGCGGACGAGGAATATAATAAGAAGCCCCAGTAGGGAAATTTCCGTCAGCGAAGCGGATAGAATGAATTCCTCAAAGGCAGGTCCATAATGAAACTGTACGAGGCCGATGGCCGCACCAATAGCACACCCAACAGTACAGTCCAGCATCCCATGCATTCCGCAATACAGTCGACCCAATACGATGGACACGACGTAGATGTAGGTGACAGCTTGGAGTAAAAGGGTGACCTGCGCGCTGAGAGTAGAATCGGGTGAACCGAGCAGGGCCAAAGCATAGACCGCAACGGAGACAGCGTTGGTGGAGTGTGTCGAAGGGAACCCATATTCCAGTGCTGCAGAACCGGACATAGTAATTCGCTGCAGTGGGGGAGACAGAGGGCGAGGAAGACATAGTAGGTCCTTGAGGAAGCCGCTCCAAAAGACGCCCGACGCTAAGATGTGTACCAATCTGTAGCGGTCAGCCACTGACTTCCACTTGCACTTTCAACTCCGGAAAGAAAACATACCCACGACCCATACTGGGAGAACCACACCAGAAGAGGAAAGGCAAAAAGACCATGAAGAACGTATGGGTGCCGAGGTTGGCCGTGAATGCGAAATACGAGTCGAGAGTAGGCGTGCGCACTTTCTCCTGCACCCAAGCCAAATATGGCGTCTCATATCGGATCAATGGGATGAGCTTCTGTCGCGGCCAATACCGCCAGAGGGGCAACCGGTTCGAGTCTATGTCGCAAATGAGCAACGTTTAGCGGACATCGCGATTAACCAGGGGTCAGCCAAAAAGAAACGTATCGCATACAGTGATTCAGACTCTTCAGACCAGCATCGGGCTGGTCCTTTTTGCTCGTGCCCATGATGCAGTGTTATCGATTCAGACTGTGTCGCAATCGGATGGATTCCATAGATAGACAGGCCGCTGCCTGCCGGTCCGTTTGAGGGCTTGAGCGTTATAGGGATCAGAACATAAGGAGCGAATTGAAGTTGGATCGAAGCAAATGATATAATCGAGAGACTCGAGGTTGAATGGCGTTTACCCTCCAAAGTTGACGGGGAGATCATCCGCGGCTTAGACCCCTGATGCCCCGGGGCCCATGTGTGTGCTTAGTCACTTTGCATTGGGGGGGCCGGCCGCCTGGTGTATATATATCGTAGGCTGTACGCGATTTTTACTACTCCGCAATTGATTTTGAGATAGAGACTCTCGTTTATGTGGATCTAGATCCTGTACAGAGGGAAATACATATTTATTTTGGATCTATATTTCATGATGTATACCGGTTATCGGCTAGACAGTCCTTAAGGTCGCTAAATACATGTGAAGCCGATACTAACTAACTAATCTATATTTTAGTTGACATCTGGCTATCTTCGAATAGTCTTTATCTAGGCCATGAACTCTACTCTTCATTTTACCTGCCCAGGTGCTGCTGTTATATATACGAGTAGCATGTGGCTCTTAGTTCCTATTGAAATGATCCTGTTTCTCTCTCCTTACCAAAATTCAATATTGATATTGCAATTGACATCTCAAAAGAGAGAAAAAGATAGAAGCAAAAAGTGTAATATATTAGTAATAAAGAAAGTTACACATGGGGAAGATTATTGGGAACTCGTATCTTGGAGGCTGATGAGCGCGGGATATCGGTCTTCTCCGTGAAATGAAGATGACATGCAGAAGTTAGTGTCAAAACCCATTATATTTCTATTTTTTATATATTTGGCTACTGATCTTCAATTAGATACTCGGTTTTACAACCATTTTACTGATCTGAATCTAGAGTAGCTTTAACTATATGTTGTAAATAGAAAAGAAAGTGACTCGTCATATTTGAAAGATCTAGGAGTACAAATCACATGACTCCTAAATATACCACAAAGCCAGGTGGATGTGCACAGTGAGCTGAACGGTGGAGAACAAGAATATATTAGTGGAGTCGAAAACAAAACAGGATCGAGAATAAACCAGTAAGTGACAGAATCCAGGATATCGAGGCCTTTGATCGTGGGAAGCGGAGCCCTGGCGTCATGGAGGCACGGCCGTTGCTATGGTAGCCCCGGTGTAAACACGGATTTCACGGTCTCACAGGGCGAGCCAGACCCTCTTGCTGTATCGATCCGCTAGATCTTTTTTAGATCTATCTTCTCCTCTTTCTTCTTCTTGCAACATACATCTCATTATCATCTCATTCTACCAGACTCAGACCTCAACATAACCCCGTTTTCCCTGTATCACATTACAAACGAAGGACACTCCATCTACCCCTACTCATCATGAGTGCTACGTACGAAGACCAATACTATGCAGCATCGCGCCGCCGCTCTCTCGCCACCCCTCCTCCATCTTTGACACCGCGTCATAGTCGAACGCGCAGCGACAGCGTCCGAGTCAGCCACGGCACAGCCAGTACCCATACCAGTGTCTCCAGTGGACGGATGTCCGAGGCAACAAATATCACTCAGCCGCCCTCTTTCTCAAAAAAGTTTGTAGTGGTGGGCGATGGCGGATGTGGCAAGACCTGTCTGTTGATCAGTTATTCCCAAGGTTACTTCCCAGAGGTACGTTCAGCCTGCAAGGAAAGATGTGTCCCTGGTGCTGATTATCCTCTAGAAATATGTACCCACGGTGTTCGAAAACTATATTACCCAAACGACGCATCGGGCTTCTGGCAAGACTGTTGAATTAGCCCTCTGGGATACTGCTGGACAGGAGGAATATGACCGTTTGCGTCCACTGTCCTATCCCGAGACTGATCTTCTGTTTGTCTGCTTTGCTATCGATTGCCCCGCATCATTGGAGAATGTTGTTGACAAGGTGAGTAAATTTGGAATCTCTTTGCTTTTGCTCGATTTGTCTGACATCGCTCTGTTTAGTGGTATCCCGAGGTTCTGCACTTCTGTCCTACCACACCGATTATTCTCGTTGGCTTGAAGTCCGATTTGCGCAATAAGCGGACATGTATTGAACTCCTTAAAACACAAGGCCTGACACCCATCACACCAGAGCAAGGCGAAAATGTCGCCCAACGGATGGGAGCAACATATGCCGAATGCAGCAGCAAGGAGATGCGCGGTGTGGATGAAGTCTTCGCCAAGGCCGTTGACGAAGCCATCACAATCGAAGAACAAGGCTGGACAGCACAGAAACCGGCCGGCCGTAATAACCGCAACAACCGCGCCAGTGCTATGCCTTCAGGAGGTGGAGGCCCTCGCCCCGGCAAGAAGATTAAGAAGCGCACTTGCAAGATTCTGTAGATTGATTCTACACCATCCGTGTTTTCTTCCATTCTCGACACCTTTTCTCTCCTGGCCGGACCACAAGCCTGGTTGCTTCGTCGGCTTGCTTGCCGCCCGCCTATGTATGTGACATGTCGCAAGCTGGACAAAGCTAGACATGACTTTCCAAATCCTTCTCTGTTGTATCGATACGCTGTGCGGCCCTTACAATGATCTCGAGTCTTTTTATTTTGCTGGAGGCGGTTTCTTTTATTTCACGTTTGTTCCCTGCTTGTGTTTATTTTGGCCCTTTCACGACCCTTGTCCCCCTTGTTCCATTTGATGTCTCTCATGACTCGGGTCTTTGCCGTTTTTTTTATTGGCATGCATGGGACTGGTGTTCTCGTTTATGTTATGTGATATGTTCTGTTGGCGAAAGCGATGTCCTATGTGTTACTGACTGAAACAATACATTTGACCTTTTGTGTTTATGTATGAATGTCTTCCCGTAGGATTCGTATGTCTTTCCCCCAGGTAAACGTAACCCGAATTTTGAATGGTATCTAAGAAAAGAAAGGAAAAAGTAAAACAGCCCGACGCCGAGGCCCGTCATGCAGACCAAAACATAAATCATCACTGCATGACTGTCGAGTCACCCTCGTCGTCTTCATGCTTCACTCCCGACTTACTCGCATCACTCTCCCCACTAACCTTCCGCTTTTCGTTGCCATTGCCAGCCTCCTCGCCTTGCTCTTCAGGCCGGCCCATAAAATTCTCAAACTGGGACCAGAGAGCTTCCACTGATCCAAATTCATTCCCCACCTAATTAATACACTATTAGCAGATCCGCTTTCTCCGTCCGGGTGATGAGGCTTACCGCAATCACACTCTCCAGATTCCGATTCAGACGATTCATGTTTTGAAGGACTTGCTCCATACCCTGCTCGAATAAATTAACATCGATTGCGGCGGCTGATAAGGGTTCCCGAGTGCGACAGGAGTTCGTTGGCATGGTACATACCACTGCGATCTCTCGGACGAGTTCCTCGCGCTGCTGCTCGAAGACTGTTGGAGACGCGGCGCGACCCCCAGAGCCTGGTGTTTGCTGGAGCCAGGCCATATTTTTCGGCTTCTGGGATCCTGATAGGGCTAGCAGTGACAAGGAATGACACGACTTGGCACTTTCAGTTGCGTTCAAAGACGCGCCGATTTGAGTTTCGGGGAGCTTCGCGGAAGATTTCTTGGCGTATGTCGACTGGACGCGGGTTTTTGCAGGAAAGTCTTCAATCACAGAGACAGTTACAGGATTGCTGCAGTTGGACTTGAGGAGATGAGGTTGATGTGGGGCATTTCTGATAAGAGATAAATCTTTAAACGCTTCCGTTTGACAACTTCTCTGATACGCTACATACCATTACTCTTTGGACTTGTTTAGGAATTATGGCAGATTCAACTTTCTGTTTTGTTGGCCAGTGTATGGAAATGACAGTCTAATTCAGTCTTCTATACGACACTATCCCCGGACTTTCCCAGATCTACTGATTTGAACTGGATCCCGATTCCATATTTCTCCTTACCATATCATGGCCCTTGAAGACCTGCGCATTGTCCTCAGCTCGACTCCAAAAGTGAAGCAAAGTACCCACAAAAATTGCCTTCAAGACGGACTTTTCTATTGCCATCACAGCAAGCCTGAGGGATTTCTCGTTATGAATACTTTTGGCACGTTCAATACTGCCAGTTCTGGCCTATGGAAGAGCTCGGTCTTATCATTGCTCCAGCCATCCAGATCCGTTTTTGACTATATCAAAATGAAGTACGTACCTCGATTAACCCTAGCTAATCAGCCCGTTTATAGGTTTTGTCGAGAGCCGCAATAGTTTGGGTGCGGGCGACTTCATGGGCTGCGGCCCTTTGGCGGGTAGGACGCAGCAGATATTCGAACGAATTAGGCATTTTTCACGTTCAGCTCATAAGAATTTATAGGTCGATGGTGACCGATAGGGTAATCGTGCCAACCTTCGAAGCCTACCAACACCTAGACTGTCAACTTAAGAATCCTCAAAATAGAAGCTCGACAAGATAGGAGATCCATCACCATTCATACTGTGAGACTGTGTTGTACCGGCAAGCTGAACAAAGCACATTAAACGCGCACTTCGGAGAGAAATGAAACGACAACTCCCGCCGGAACGTTGTACAAACTCTATGACGTTTCTCAGATGTCTTGAGCTTATATCCAAAAATATAATAGGCGTCAACGTTTGGAATTGATTCTGGAGACCCCTGAAATATAGAGACATATCTGCATGCGGGCCCTACTGACGTTTGACATTTAGTTGATTTCTTGATCTAGACGACAAGCTGAAAGGCACAATGGTGGAAGTCAAGTATATGGGATCATATGACTACATACCGTCAAGACCAGCCGCCGTGGTATCCATCGTCCTATTCGGAATCTCAACCGTCCTGCATTGTTGGCAAATGTTGCGTGGTCGAACTTGGTTCTTCATTGCTTTTATATTCGGGGGAATATGTGAGTGCCAGCTCAATGAACCAACTTGCTGTTGGAGCCTCTCTTCAGGCTATTTTCCGAATCTTTTTAACGCAAGTTGTCTGTAGTTGAGGTTGTTGGATATACAGCCGTAAGCCAGCCTGGATACTCGATCAAGCCAGAAGGGAATATGCTCACAATTATAGCGTGTCGTTTCTTCCAACGAGTACCCGAAATATACCATTCCTCCTCTTGCCATGCAAGCCGTTCTTGTCCTCGTCGCGCCGTCACTGCTGGCTGCAAGTATTTATATGGAACTTGGCCGCATCATGATTGTCACTGGTGGCGAACACTTGTCACCAATCCGGCGCTCGTGGTTGACGAAGATCTTCGTGGTTGGAGATGTGATATCATTCTTTATTCAGGCAGGAGGTAAGACCCATATCTCGTTTCTCAACGCGTCGACGATATCTTGCATCTCCCGATTTGACTAACCTATATTGCAACAATACAGGAGCCGGAATGCTCGTCAAAGCCAGCACAGCAGAAAAAGGCGGGAATGTGATTAAAGTCGGCTTGATCATCCAAATTATCTTTTTCGGACTCTTCATAATCACCAGCATCGTTTTCCACTCCAAGCTTGAGAAAAACGGGTCAAGGGTGCTACAGAATCGCCAAGTCCCCTGGAAGAAACACCAAACCGTGTTATACATTGGTAGTCTACTCATTTTCGTCCGTTCCATCTTCCGGTACATCGAGTACAACCAGGGAAATGAGGGGGCATTGCTCCAGCATGAATTCTACAGTTACATTTTCGACGCCGCTCTTATGCTGCTCGTAATGGCCGCGTTTAACGTGGTGCATCCGGCGGAGATTGGCAGGTTGATGAAAGAGAGGAAAGGCGGATATAGGATGGGGCTGATTGGATGACTGAGACAACTGGATATAAAATGCCGGGAAATCTCCGGGCATATCCAATCAGACCGACTCAACCTGTACCGAAGTGATGTACATTATGATGTTGATAGATCGAGCCGGAGTCCATACATATTAAATGGGCAAGCTGCCGAAGTGTGTCCGACATTCATTGTCGTTTTGCTACAGTTCTCTTTCCAACTTGAGATTATTTAGGTTTTAATCTACATCCGCAGGTCTCTCGTATAGCTCTACATGCACGAGATTCAGTCTAAACTCGAAGGTCCGAATAGTCCGGCGCAGGGACAGAGGCCGATACAGCCAAGTCGACACTCGTATCCCCTAACACGGGGGGGAGCTGTTGTGCCAGGCAATTTAAGAAAAGGAGATGAAAGAGCTATCCTAGCTTGACCGACATGCGTTCCTGACTTTCTGAATCCTTTCTAGTAAAGCCATTTTTATTAGGCCAGTTCAATAGGGACGTACTCGTAGCACGATTGTTCTACTCCGAGGCTCCATGGTCCACTGGTACTATCACATATCCTGTACATGCTACAAGCCTGATAGGTAGTGAATACCTTCATTCCAGACTGGATAGGGCCAGAGCTAAGACCCCGCCAGATTTAGTATTTGCCAGGTACAAAGTTCACGAACAAACAACCGGGTCAAATAGGATTTTGGTTACTCTTCATAGACAATATTCGAACTAAATGTATTGTGCACTACATCAGGTATCAAACGTGCTAGGAGCCAAAAAAAGAAGTTATATTAACAAGAGGCGAATAATAGACAGACGCGGTTCTCAGACCGTTCGCGTTCTTCATTTTTTGAGGAATTTGGTTTCTATACATATGCCAGAGGACCAATCCAGATCATAATCGTATAATCCTAGATCCAAATCCAAATCCAAATTCAAATCCCCAATTAGACAAAGTGCACATTCATCAAATAGCAAAAGCGGGGCAAAATCCTGTCCCCTTGTCAACCGGACCAGGGCCAGCAGAGCAGACCAGAAAGCAGTCTGAGGCCAAACAATCGATAACACCCGAATAGCAAGGTAACGCCGTCGCGCACATCACTTCGTATCATTTCAATTCGTAATGTCGTTTGCAATTCACAGTTCGAAGTCCATGTCACCGTGCCCCGGTCACGAAACACAGGCACAAACCCGCTAGCCAAGTCGTTGATGTATCCGTAAGAAAAATCATTTACGTTTTGCTTTTTCTTTCCCCTTTTCATTTTCACATGGCAAGAAATCTGTTCGGCATTGTCCCGGACCTCAGTAGGTGCCTGAGATATATAGTGGGGTGGAGTACAGTAAGACCGAGGCACATCACTGCAGGGCGGGGGTGTATGTGGATGTTAAGAGTTTCGGCGGGGTTGCGCGAGAATATTGCTCAGACGTTTCCAGCGCGGCGTCGGGGATGTCGAGTTCCTCCGAGACGGGGATTTGTCTTGTTTTGCGGATGACTGTGTAGAGGAACGGGCTCGACTATTGATGGTCGCTTCGTGGTCGGCAAGGACATCCTCGAGGCGGACGTCGGAGTCGGACATGCGTAGGGATGAGTCCTTGGGATCGAGGATCTCGATGAATTTGGAAGGTGTGTCGCGCATTGTGTAAAGTGGTTTTAGTTTGTGTTGATCTGGAGGATGGAGAGTATATATAATTTGGGATTTCAAAGTAGAGGGAAATTCAGATGTCACGAGGTATAGTCCTGTGTAGGTTCAGCGCGAGATGAGACAAAGAACGTTGCAGGTCCGGGCTGACTGCAGGAGATTTGAGCGTTTCAAGTTTTAGAGCGAGAGAATGGAGAATAGAAAAATAGAAAAGAATGGAGAAGAGAAGGGAGTTATAAAAGAAATGGAAATGGCCTCCGATAACGAAAAGGGAAAAAAGGAAATGTGAATGTCTGCAGTACCGAAGATCAGTGGGGTAGAACTTACTGATTCGAACTATAAGATTTGTCCGTGGACTATGATCTTGTGTTTCGTTCTGTTTTGGATATCCTTTTAGATACTTATGTATTCTCTATATCTTATACTATTATAGAAGTACACATACAAGTCAATGTGCACTATTCAAAGTAGGCAACCTTTTCAAGGCACTCCAAACCCCCACAAGTCGAGTGCATTACATCGATGCACAAGCCCCTTTGGCCAACGGCTGACCCTTTTAGCAGCGGGGCGAGATCGGCAACTACTTCAGTGGCGTCCGAGTGACCATCATCGTGAAGAACTGTGATGGTTCGTCTCGATGTATGGAGATGCACCTGATGCAAAAGGATGTCGAATTTGGTTCATGGTATAGGAAGATCGTATGCCCCCTCTTTCCCCCCTTCTGCAGACAAGGGCCCCGACTCTGAAACTGGCTACGATAACCCTGCAGTGCGCTATTCGTATTAACTTATTGTGGATGCCATCCTTCAAGCACCATGACGTCGATGGCATGAAATCTCTATCAGCGGTTTGGAGGGTCAGAGACTGCGGAGGGGTAAACAGGGTCGACGGGTGATCGGCTCCCGGCATGTACGTCCATTGGTCAGTATAGTCCTCCAGACATTGTGCGCCATGTGGTACGTCGTCTTCTATAAAATGAACCGCCACAGCAATTAGCCACCTCAACCTGCCACACATCCGAATCTCTTCCAACAAATCCACATACCATGGTAAATATGCGATTATACAACAGAGGAACGCGTCAAAACAGGGGTGTTAGTATACGTAGGTGGATTCGCCCCATTGGAGATTGCTCAGGGCTGCGGCGCCCATGCCGATGTCAACCGGACCGTCGGGCGGCCTGTGCGATACAGTTTAGGAAAGGGAAGCCCGTCGGGGAGTGGAGATTGCACTTGGAGCTACTATTTCCCGTTGAGAAACTCGTCGCTCTGGGTCATAGTGTCTCGTCACTCCTTCAGTGCACCGGCGTACACGTCCTTTCGAAATATGTCGATGCCTATTGGATTTAGGCTGTGGTGCCCATTTTCCTCACCGATACCCTCTGACGGAACGGATGGGAGAGTAACCGGAGACGTTGTCGTCGCTGCGCCGCACTTTGAGTCATAATACACCGTCGTACTTGACACTTGATGGCGAAGTAGACTCGCGCGCAACCCTGATTAACCACGAAGAAAGTACCTAACTACGTATGTCTCTCAGACTCGTGCAGGAAGTAATTGATTCGATTTTGGTCAGAGGTCATGCACAAACCCCACTTGGAAAAGCCATAAACAAATAAACGCCTCGTGATAATTGAAACTGTGAGCAGAACACACCCGAGTCCCAACAAACCTGGTAGACTCGGTAGATCGGTCCTCCGTGTCCATCTGTGCAGAGTCGGCCTCGATCGCTTGTTCGGGTGCCTGGCAGGCGCAGCAGGTATTTCAGTGTGGCACAAATTAAGTAACCTATCCATTCAATGGAACAGCGAGTCCCACTACGCCAAATACACTGCTCCAAAAGCCGTCACAGAGGAGCACACCTCACTTCTAGACACAATAGGAACAGCTGTCATTTTTCACTAACCCTCATGTACCGCACTGCATCGCATCTCCATTCCAGGATATGCGACATATTATTTAAATTCCATGTCTGTCATTTCCACTGCATCGGCCGAGCCCATATAGAGGATGTTGTTGCATCTGTGCGGCGGAAGGAGAGTTAGCCAAACTAGAATCACATCCATCCCGACGCCGAGCCGCTTGAAGCGCGCATCACATACCTGATCAGAACAAGACCCAATGCACCAGTGGGCTTTCCGTCGATAAACTCTTGCGTGTCGCGCAGCAGGACATTCATGTATGAATCAATGCTCTCGAGTGTGCCTTTGTATTCGGTCTGGCCCCACTTCAGGCGGATGAGGACTTCGGTGCCAACGCTATAGAGATGTATAAGTTAGCAAGCTGTTCTAACAGCAGCGATGCATATCTGTGGATGTCTCGAGAGACAGATACGCTGCTTGGGGCTGCTTGATGGGGTCCGGGGTGGGTTGGGGGCGGGTCGCATACCGAGCCTGGAGGAAGGGACGGGGGTTAAGCGGTTGGAACTGTAAAAGTGAGAGTTAGCAATGGGCCCCAGGGGAATAGCGCGTGGGTTCAGGTGCTGACGAGCGGATCTCGACCTTGATAGCGGGCTGAACTTGAGGGGGGAAGACTTACACTCATTATGACTCGAGATGAGTTTATGGTTGGTTGTGGTGGAGTGGGATTCGAGAATATAATGACAGCAAAAGCTCAAGCAGGATCTATCACTCCGTTGGTTAATCGTGCTTGTCGTCTTGTTACCTGCAATGACATCGGAGTCGGCGAGATCGCGAAAATGTGAGCTGAATAAGGCGTTGGTCGGTGGCCAATCAGCGCCCGTATGTCTTCACCGCCCTCAAGGTCCTGTATAGTGGACAAGGTGCTTGGATTGACATGATACATACATGCACATATGTACATAGTTTTTACTGCTGTAGGTAAATATCTTGCGTTAACTAATTGAAGGTGTAAAGGGACGAAATTCTTTCTTAGTTTCTCATCATTGGTATATCTCCCATTTTCAGCATGCTCCACGCCCCCATTCCCATGACAGCTTCGAAGGTTAAACTCATCAACAAACACCAGTAATAATACAATGGAAAAATATGCTCAGAGTTCATCAGAGTTTCATAGATTCAAGCGCCTGACAATCACTCGCCAATAGATATTCGCTTAACGGCCAACAGTCCAGGTGATTTCCTTGATGCTGACTTCCTCACCTTTCTTCTCGTCGTAGTCATACCACTCGCCCTCCGAAAGGTCAATGCCAGAGAAGGTGGTGGTGGAATCAACGGCCTTGGCTTCCCAATCGCCCTGAATTGCCTTCGTCAGCTCATACAATTACGTAGGTAAATCTGGACAGAATTTGGGATTTACTCACGTCAGGCTTGAACTCAATGAACTCGAGGCCACGGCAGTCCATTTCGATAATCTTCTGGGAGCTTTGCTTTTCCTGAGCCTCATAGGGCTTAGGTCCGCTAATGATGGAGGCAGTGTGGGTTTTCTATGCGGTTATTAGCCATGGAAAAGTCGCGGAGGCCAAATTATTAATGCCAACAAAGCGGAGTGGAATCAAAATGGAAAGAACTGTAAAAAAGGCAAAAGTGCAACCCTTCCAGGGTATCAGATTGGAAAAAAATAGCTTGCTTACTGTGCATAGTCGGCACTTCCACACGAAATTAGCCTCGCCGCGGCTACCGGGGATTTCGTGCACCTCCTATACATCATTTCAGTTAATAAAGTTCAGTCGTGACAAGATTGAGAGCAAATTGCAAGTAATTCACGTACGAAACGGTTGAAGCTGACCCAGTTAGGGTGCGTCTCGTGGCAGGAGGTGCATTGCACTCGGAAAGTGTAAAAGTAGGGATTTTCCTCAGTGTCGGTGGGCAGGAGGGCAGTAACGCTGTATCATTATATCAGCTGCCTGACCCTTTCATAGCGGTGGCTGAAAGGATCTGCCCGCGCAGCGTTCCTGGAATTGGAGTGCAGTGCGGGGAGATCCAGACACCTGGGCACCTGCAAAGGCTCAATAATCGAATCACCTGAGCTAGAAGCACTTACCCCTCCAGTTGAGCTTCGACCGAAAGAGTGAGCATTTTGGCTTTTGAAGTCAAGTAGGTGATCTTGATCTTGAGGTGTGATGGCTGAAGGCAAGATCCTCTCTGCAGGTGATGCGGGGTGGAGATGGAAAATACGTAACTTAGATCGAGGCTTGGCATTTGACCACTGTGTAAACATTGAGCTTTTATCGGGACTACGAAATATGAATGAAAGACAGAAGTGTGAAGAGGAGCTTGGGTACTTGAATTGCAATTTATTCATATAAAAGTTGAAAATATACGCCGGTCATGCTTAAGCTATCGCTCGCAACGAACGAATCAAAATCAGCTATATACATCTCGAAGCTAAAATACAGACTCATAAACACGTATCATTCTCACAGACGGCTCTGTTGAGAGTCCTGGCCCAGCGGCTTCGTCGAGAATGCATTGAAGAACTCGTTGAGAGCGTCAACAGTGCCACTTCCCTCAACCAGCTGTACGGTACAAGCAACGTGGCTGTCGGGGCGGGTGACGACAACACCACCCTTCTCAGCATCAAAGCCTAGCTTCTCATGGGCTGCAAATTGAGCCCGAGGAACACGCACGTCCGGGATATCATCGGCATAGAGGTGGTGGTGGTAGTCGCGTAGAACCTGGGGGATGCAGTCCACATCGATGGTGTTCTTGGAGCCTGCATAGATTACAGACAGGGTGAAAAGCTTGGAGTGAGGGTTGTGGCGCTCGAAGAATGACACATCGGCAATATCAGACCGGCGGTACACCGAAAGGAACGAGCGTTCCTTCTCTAGGTTGGCAGCCATGTCGGCAATGGCCTTCTTAGTCTTGGACTGGTTGCCAGCGAAGACGAAGATGCGGAATGCACCGTTAGCGGGCACTTCCTGCTCAAGCTCCACAAAGTTGGCATCTGCAAGACGAGTGACAGTGGTCGGGGTGAAAGCGCGCCCCGGAGTCAGATGAACTCCGGGAATCTTGAACAGAGCGGACTTGGCAGGGTGGCTTGCGTCCCAGGTGAAAATGTTGGGCCGGTAGGCCACTCCGTATCCACTAGTGAACTCGCAAGATGACTTGAAGGTCTTGACGAATTCGTCCTCCTCCCCACCAGCACCCACGGTGGTGTGGCTGGCAGAACCAACCTCGCCAGCAGAAGGACGACGCTTGGAGAACAGAGCTGCGTACTTGGAATCGAAGTTCAACAAAGTCTCAGCGATATCCTTGCGCTCGCTCTCGTACGTGCTGAGAATGGAACGGTTGGCAAGGCCACTCTCCACGGCGTGGATCTTCCATGCCATGTTGAGTGCGTCATGGAAAGCAGTGTTCATTCCCTGGCCGGCCTTGGGCTTTACGGGTGTTAGCGCTATTTTCAGAACGACAGGGACTTCAAAGGGCAATACTGACGCTGTGAGTGTGGCAAGCATCACCACCCATGAAGACTCGCTCGTCAAGGGTGTACTTTTCAGCAATACCCTGTCCAATGGGGTAGACGGAGTACCACTCCACCCGATCCCACTCAATCCAGTATGGCTTAAGAATGTTCTTCGCGGTCTGCTGGACCTCCTCAGCGGTGGCAGTCTTTCGGGGGTTCCAATCGGCGTCGGTGGAGGAGGCGATCTGGACATAGAGGCGGACCATATTGTCCTCGCGGGGAATGACCATGATTGAGCCAGCGTCGGAGTGGATGGTGCATTTTGTCTATATATCAATGTGTTAGAGAAATACGTCATGTTGGGCCATTTCGGGCATGCTTACCTCAATGTCGGGGAAGTTGGTGCGCACGACACCGTCCATGACACCCCAAACATAGGCAATAGGATCCTTGTGGTGGATCTTGATGTTAAGCTGCTCACGGACGAAGCTGCGGGCACCCTCACCACTGAACAAGTACTTGGCGCGTACATTCTCGATCACATTGGTATCCAGACACTTCAGGTTGACTTCAACAGGGTAATCAGCGTTCGCGCCATCGTTCTTGAAGCCAACGATGGTCCATGGCCGCTCGACGGTTGTGCCAGCCTTCTTAATTTCATCCAAGAATACGCGCTCGATCTTGCCTTGGTGGACCAGGGTGGTGAAAGGGTAGCGGGTGTCAATGAAACGGGGGCAACTAGGCCAGCTGCCAGTACGGCCGATGCCAGAGCCGTCACCCTTAGGATCCCAGAAGGCAACGTCATACACCTTGGCAGGCTCGTAAGCCATGATCGAGCGCTTCAAGCCAAGGTTGCGCAGGATCTCAGTAGATCGCGGCTGGATACCGTCAGCGCGACCAGTAGCGGTCGGCACTGGGCGGTTGTCGATGTGCTTCACTTCGTAACCCCATCTTGACATACACAGGGATAAGAGCAGACCGACGGGGCCAGCGCCCACAATGACAATGTCATAATTCTCTTGTTGCACCATGCTGAAAATCGAAAACAGGGATTAAGGTGAGGGGCAGGTATGAATTGTATGGCGAATGAAGATATGATCAGCGTAAATAATTGTATATATGACTTGAAGGTAGATCAGAGTGTCACCCTGCTGGATGACCGAAGGACAATGAACGAGGGCCATGGCTATCCCTATATACTGTTCGGGAACTGGGGTAAGCGGGCGGGTTGGGTGTTCAGCTGAAGCGACGGAGAACATCCACGGCATTCAGAGAACGCGGAATCGTGGGGAGCACCGGATCGAGGGTCGGGGTAGCCAATCAGGTTCGCCAGAAAAGGAATTAGAGACGATTTGTCAGAGTCGCAGAAAAAGCGCCGTGTGGGGCAAGACTGGCTTTGCACAATGTCCATAATATCGTCGTTGATCCCGAGCTGGTAGCCGTAGGGCTCCAGTCTGACTGGGTTGCTCCTCTTTTCTGCTGCTCCACCCGGAAACGATCTCGGTAAGCGGACTATGGGCACGTGACCCCGCCTCGGCAACCCTGCCCGGGATCTATCTGGAACAACTGCAGGGCTTGCCGTGTATCTACAACGTCCATACTCGAGTACTACACTGCGGATAACCCGAAGTTCTGTGCCATGCTCTAGATGAAATACCCATGATGTCTGGCACCTACTTTAGTGGTCTCCTCGGTCTGGTCCATGGCAAATGAGTCGGTTCCATCCGTCTTTCGGGTAAAAAACGAATATTGGAAGCATTGCTACATGAACATGTGGTTAAAGCAATACCAATAGCACTTAGAGGTCCCCGGGGCTCAGCCCTAATCAATAATATAACCAACGCAGTGGTTTGAATTACCTTATGTAGTCTAAAGTTGCCATCCGTAGCATGAAAATATTGACACCTGAGGCAACACTGGCGAAAGAGGTTTAGGTCGGGTACAAGTTGTACCGCTCCGAACTATACCATCCCTATGAACTACATGCTTAAATGGAAACAACATATCAGGACTAAACACATAATTTGTATTTGTGAGCTATGCACAATAAGTGACATTGGACGATCAAATTTACCTACCATCCCATGTAGACAATATATGGAAGAGGTACCCATATGGAGTGAGTTTGATGTGAGGATGTTTTCCAAAATTTTATAATATATATAGCACTTACTCTTACTGTGGGTGATGACAACATACAAAAGGCGTTGTATTAATTGTGACCTCATAGAGCATTGTGATTTTCTTTTGTGATGGTTCTCGTAGGTGCGGTGTGCTGCATCAATAATCTGTGATATTGCAATACATATGCTTATCTAGGTCGTACTATTTTAGAGCATGTGCTGTCA